TGATGTGATCGTCAATAATACTTTCCATACTTTTGATACATTATGATTACTGTCATCATCCCTATTGCTGGGTTGGAACACACCTGATGACTAACAGATGGAATGAACACGTCCATTCACAGAAGCAACAGGGAATCAACGGTAGACGTTAAATGCCACGTTCTAGTAGCGCTGTTAAAATTTCACTTGGAAAATTTTTTTGTCAATAATTTTTAATAAAATTGTGTTATATATTATCTGGATTGATGGGAATTCCCATTTTCTGGCCAGTTATTTTGGTGTCCGCGTCATGTAATCTGATTGCGACACCCCCTAGCATATTGGTTACAACGATCAGTCTTTCAGGCGAACTGTAGCAAAATATCGCTATAGTGAGAAAGATAGGATAGTTGAAGGGTAATGTCATCTACACCAATAGTCTAATTTATTTAGATGCTGCACCTTTCGGCATGGTATCATTAAATTGAGACTTCACGTCTCAGGATATTAATTCAGCCTATTTTCGTGTGAAGAAGAGTCCTTTTTGACAAAAGAATTCTATCGGTACTTGGAAATCACCTGTAAATGCTAACAGAACCTTCTGTGGGAATAGAAGTAATCATGTAGATGTGTCTCACCGTATGTGTGTTTTGACAGGAATTATCGTAAGTAAGAGGTTTTTTCTAAGTGTATTTCATGTATATTTGCACTGTTTAGTGTAGCGTAATAAGAGTTATATGGACTCAATGCATAAAAAATCTCTACTTTATTAATATTGTGCCATTGCTAAGCTGACTGCTTGGCTGGCAAACGTAGGTGGTTGTCATGATTATTGCAAGTGCAGTGCAGTGGAGAAGGCAATCACTCGTTTAAATTTCCTTACTGTGTCACTTAGTGCATTAATTCAGTGTATAGTATTATTATACACATGGATTGTGTCGATAATGAGAACTGAATCTGGTCAGCTCTATTACTATCAATCTACTGTCTGTTATGCCATTCTCACTGGCACTGTAAACTTAATGCTGCAATGTTTTTGATCACCAATAGTGGTGATCGATTTTTCCTGAATTTTCCATTAACATGAAGCAGTACAGATGCAGTGTCACAACCGAATGTCTAGGTTGCATTATATGTCATTGTTATCCTCATCAACGCAACAGGTCTGCGTATCTTACAATATTTTCAATGTTTCTCTATGCTGCTAACACTGTGCATAGCTGTTTAGAGCTGAAGCATGTTCAGCTCATATTTGATGGCTACAGATTCCTTAATGTGAGAGTATAATTTCTGTAGGATTCATAAAACTATGCTCATTAGACATTACTGAGATTATGGATCGATTTCTAAGTTACACATTTGCAATACTTCATTTAATGTAAACGTATTTAGTGTGAAGTTGATCTGCAAGTAAGGTTGATGAGAGTATGACGCCTCAATAGTATGGAAGTTTCAAAGATTGTCTTGATATTTGCGTATAATCCTCTAATACTGGAAAACAACTGAGGTCTATTGATGCTTACAGTGTCAATGTAAAAACCAGCTGTAAACTACAAATACATTTATTTGCATGAGATATTACTTAGTATTAACAGAATCAGTGTATTCATAGTGTGTGCTAATATGTAGAATTGTCTTTCATAGCTTCATGTTGTGCTAGTCCTTACATGTGCTTTATTTTTTTCAGGTATACGGAGGTTGTCGAATATGAAACCAGAGGAAATATCATTCGGTCAAACTAACGTTAATACTCTTCATCGGGATTTTCTTTTGTAAATTAATGAAATGTTTAATATACTCTTCAATTCTACTTCCTCTAGACTTTTTCACTGCGTCGCTATACTATGTGCTTTTGTAATAAGTGAATTCGGATCAATGCATGTTAAGCTTAGTTAGTGGGATGGAGATTTACTATAGTATTATGAGACTGTTACTTCAGCCCTTCGTAAGATTTCGTGTCTGTTTCTATACAGTAGCACATTGTAAAAACTAAGTAGGATTTAGCAAGTTGAATAATAATTCTGTACTGTTCGGTACGCTAAAATCGCCTTATCTGGCCAGTTGCAAGTCTCTATACTGTTAAACGCCAAGTATGAAGTAGAAGTAAATGTAATAACTTAGGCTTGATAGCTACTTGACTGATCTGTTAATATGCAGTGACATCATCAAATAGACTGTTCACTTGACAGTGAGCAAAGAAACAATTTTCATCTATTTCTAATATGCCGTTGAATCATTTGATGTTATCTGATATCCATCATTTCTATGATCAACAACTGCGGTGTTTGCATATCTACTTTATGAATATTAAATAAGTCACGCCTTTATGCATCTAATTACCTCCAGGATTTTCTATTCATTTGATGTGTGTACGGTAAACAAGTCATTCATACATTCTCCCACAAATGCCAAGGTTTCTGGTGTCACAAGTGTTAATAAGAGTTGCTTCCTTGGTTTCAATACAAATGACGTTCTAAATTATCTCTAGTCGTTGAACCCTTCTTGTAGCCTAGTTCCAGATTGTTTGCCTAGCCTTATTCTTAATTAAATGTGCAGATATCCTGTCACATATTTAATGAATCTTTTTCCAGAAATGTTGTGCCAGACGTTTGGAAGAACTTTAAAATTGTACCTATACCTAAGTCGCCTAATGGAACATGCTTTAAATTTAGACCTATTGCTATTACCTCTCCTTTTCTAAAAGCTATGGAAAAGTTACTCTTACTTATTCTTCAACCCACACTTAAAGCCTTTAACGATCTCAAATAATTCGCCTATAAACAAAGTAGAAGTACTTCAGATGCAGCTGCAGTCTTGCATCACAACATTTTCTCCATTATTGTCGTCCACTACCAATTGTATTTTTGTTTGACGAACTTAATGTGCATACGCATACGAAATGAAATATGTCAAGTGCGCGGACTAACTATTCCAGTGTCTTTTAATTCGCATCTACACTGTACTAAGATGAACAACTCTCTATCAGGAGTCAGAAAATGCTTTTAAACTAAATCCTTCCAAATGTCAGACTGTCAATTTCAGTTTCCGATGTAAAAGAAAGTTAGATGAGGCTGTTAATTCCTATGACCGTTGCAAAATTGATGAGAGTGGTACAGAAAACAAGTCTGACGTTAAGTATCTCGGACCAATTCATCACACAGTGTCTTAGCCTTAAATGTATACTACACGCATGCATAATGTTTATGAGCTAGGTATGCAAATCTAGGTAGACGCTAGTACGGCACATTCATTATTTAAAAAACTAACTCATATGTGAGGACTACGACTTGACCAGCTTTACAACGTTTAATATATTTAGACGCAATAAACATACACTGCTTACTTCTATGACGCATTATCTAAAGCTACCTTAAAGTAGTTCCCCCTGAAGGTAATCTCCTGTTGCTACTACCTAAGTGAGCAACTCAACGTTATCTTTGAATTTCAAAGTAAAAGCGAACATCCTGAGAGCTTTCTGGGTAAAACATATCCTAATCTCTTCACGCAAGCTTTTAGAGGTATTTATCCTATCGCCTCAAATGACTCACCATTCACTGTCACTTAAAAGTAAAAATGAATTTACCGAAGGCAGCGTGCTTACGGTTTCTAGATATCATAATGCACCATGAGGAAAAAGCTCTATAGCAATTAGATCCGCGATATAAATCCGAAACACAACGACTACGATTCACAGTCACAGAACATTCTACTTTGCTACCTAATCGTCTAATCGTATCAACAGACGTCTCGCCAAGAAACAGAAGACCATTGGTTCAAGGAAAATTTATTTAAAGTTTTCTTAAAAATCATGGACAACCGTGTTTATAGCCACGGAGAAATCACAAGCATCCGAAAAATAGGAATTTCATTATTTGAACTGAAACAAGCAATTTGCAACGAGCCAATTTTTCACCCCGAATAATAATCAGCTTCTCAGCTTGTTGTAACTTCGAAAAAACCACCGATTGTAGACCAAAATCCGAAACGTTATTCTTGCTAGTTAAATTCTTACCGAACACTCACCAGATCATCGTATGTTATCCGCTTTTCAAATCGTTTTGAAACAAATAAAATGCTTGTTAACACCACGTTTACTACAGGCAGTCCTAGTTGGTGCGTTTGGATCTAGTACACTAGGCATTAACAATCATTTAGGGATTTCCTATTGCTTCCAAAAGTACATACAAACACCACACATTCATACTTCACATGTGGCTCATCCTTGTTCGATTTTGATTCTCTCACAATACATCTGATTTTTTAGCTGACAACAGACACCTTGTCGAAAAGCATCAAAGCTTTTTATACTTCAAACCAGGATCTAAATTCTCTAGGTTTAATTTGTTCTTCGAAAACTTTGCTAATATCAACCCTGATCGTGCTCTCTTCACCAGATTCACTCGTAGATTGTTGCCTGCTGTAAACGTGAACGTGAAAGACATTTTCTTCCAGATTCCTACATATTAAGTAACCAATTGAGCCAGCAACAATAACTGCAACCAAAAATAAACTGGAAACAATGGCTTCTGCTTCCCAAACATGTTCACGTGCATAATCTCCAAGATTTCTACACAGTACTAATTCATTAATAGCTGAAAAACAATTAAAACACTGAAACCATGTATGAATGCAACGTATGAAACAATAACAATGAAATGAATGAACTGACCTGGTGGTAAAACTTTCGAAACAAATGAAATAAATAATTTTAACAGAAACGGAAACAATAATGAAGTGAAACGCAACATTTGTGAACAATGTGCATCAAGATAAGTTGTGAATAACTGCTGGATAAACGGAAAACCAATGTGTAAACGAACAGCTACAGAACTGCAATGCAACATGGCCGACTAACATGGACGAAAATGACCTTGGAGCGTCTCACTCCATCAATGACCTTGTACGTGGCGTTTAATTTCTGCCGGAATCAACACACAGCACACTGAAAATCAAATATAACAAATGCCCGCAGCTACCCCCTTGGCGTCAGTCAGACAAAGCTGTGTCAATCTAGTGGAGAGGCGCACTACTCAGAAGTTTGCCAAATATCAGAAACCTCTACCTTTCAACCAAAAATGGAACACAAAGAAATGAATTTAGTTCACACTTGCTCGTCAAAACGATATTGGGTATTGAATGTTGTAGGTCACTGTTGAGGCTGTCTGGTAAATTTGACGTCTAGGTCGATATGTCTAGGTCCCATGGATGAAGTCTTCTTAGGATGAAAGGAGAGTCAGATAACGAGCAGTCTTTTGATTCAGATGAATCTGATGATTACAATTATAATGAACCTGATTATGATGTAGAGGGTGAAAAGTTGGTTTTGTTTTTAATCAAAGTATTGTCAAATTTAGATATAGCACAGATAGAGTTCATCCTGAATCTTTCATGTACAAAGGACTAGAAAGAAATGAAGTCGAAAGTTTTCTTAACAGTATTGTTGATAACCTATGCAACCTAATACATGTAAGCCCATTAGTCTTGTATACGTGTGGATACAACTTCGTAGGACTTTCCTTTACACTATTTTTATTTATTTTGATTTACAGCTTGATTCCACACCGTATTTTCAGTACAAGTGTGGAATTTTCAGCATGGATATCGGTAGCCCAAATTCAGGCTGACCATAGATATCGGGTGTGCGCCGGCAGGGGATCGAACCCCGGACCATGTGCATGGTCGGCGAGAGTCCTAACCACTGTGCCACCGACGCACAAAATGCTTGTCACCGCCTTGAGGGTGGAGACGAGGTGAGTTGGAGTACCTGGGCACTAGCGGGAAGTTTGTAGAAATAACCATCTTAATAACACCATTTATGTAACCACGTGTAAATTTAGGACTAGTATGGCCCTTAATTTATGCACGAGATATCGAAACACTCCTAATGTACAAAGTGTAACCTTTCTGGTTGTCACGAATAATAAACAGCTTGGGAGAAGTTAAAGTTTCATTACCAAATTTAAAGTATCTCGAAAGTTGACCTTCAAGGACCTACCAGATGCAGGGCATTCTATGAAATACCATTGCAAATCAAATCGTGCCTGTCTCTATGGTCTTGGAGAGGGTAGACATAGTATTCTACGTATTTACGTGGTACTACTGCAAATCTATAGTTATGTAGGGCCATGGCTTTTTAGATTAAGGATAAGGGTCTAGGGTTAAGTTTAGTATTAGGGGTAGGTGGAAAATAGTGTTTGAAATATCAATGGAACTAAAAGTACCATGACCTACACTCACCCGGATGAATACGCCTAACACTCATGGTACGATTTCTCTACAGATGATATGTGTAGTGACTGGAAGACGTTACAACACATAAGCTACTTTCCCACAGTGTAACACCGTGTTTGCGATATTTTCTACTGTATTTTACAACCATAATGTAATTTTATTGCACCTGAGTTATGATCGGTTGTTCAAGGTCACTATGACTTTTGATATGATAGCTTCACTTTGCCACAACTTGTCCTGTCCTTAGGCGGTTGACATTTGTGTGGATGAGTTACGGCAAGGGTAAACAATAGACACCAAAGTCAAATGACCTTGATTCGACCATTCAGATAGCTCAGCATTACAAATGGATGCTAGTCATAAACCTCATTGTGTCTCCTAGATTTGTTTTTTGACTTCTCTTCTATTCTTCATTGTTGCCTGAGTTACTTGTGCCTCTGATCACCAACGGGGTTAATATAAATGGTTATATATATATATATACATATAGGTAACCAAACCTACTAGCGATATCTTGAAAGGTGTTGTTTAAAACGCGTTAAGCTCATAGGGTGACCAAAATGTTGAATGGGACATTGAGACAGTTTACCTGGATTTCTAATTAATAATTCTTTATATGTCAACTAATTTTCAACTGTATTGTTGCTTTACATTGAGCGTTATCTTGAACAATTTCAGGTGCCCCCAGCAATAGCTCGTCTATTACTGCACAATAATAAGTGGGATGTAGAGGCAGTCAAGAAAAAGTTTCTGGCTCATCCTTTGGTTACACTTATCAATCATGATATTTTACCAGGACTAAATACCCAATCCAGCTGCAGTGATAGCCAAGCAGTGATGGCTACTATCCATACAATTCAAAAACTTAATTCGCGCGTCACTCCTTTTTTGTCGCGACCTAAAATCACATCAGGTTAGCTGTGAAACTCATTTATTGTTATCCTATTTGTTCTTATTTTGATAATTATGTTTGTGGATAATCAGCAGTTATTGTAGTGTTTATTATGCTTAATTTAGGTGTATATGTAAGCGTATATTGATTCGGAATCGTGTCTTTGAGGTTCTCCTAAATAGAATTCTTAAGAATCTGCATTCACTTTGCTCAGATTGCCAACATTGTACGTCATTTTTCAATTTAGTATATTTCAATATGACATTTTCCGGCTGGTTTCTCTGTGATGTTGCTTATGCTGAGTAAATTGCCTCAGGAATAAATTAAGAAAGTTGGGCTGGTTGGTAAAGTTGTTAATCTTAGTCTGCTGCGACAACTACTATGTGCGGTGCATCCGTTGACTACCTTCCTTTTGTCTGTACTAGAATTAGATCACTGGGAGTTAAAGATTTTTAGACCTCTATGTTACTGGATTTCTCAAAGTTCCACTTTCGGTTTGAAGCCTGAGAAAACTGCTCGATTTCTGATTCGTATCCTCGAGATGTAAAGTATCAACAATAAAAAAACTCTGACGCATGACACCCTATCAATCAAAGTAACTCAGACGTGTTTATAGAATTTATGATAAGTAAACCCTAATGAATGAACATCAAGTAGTTGCCATATGTATTATGTTATAATGCCAGAACTGAGGAGAAGGTGAATATGTACAACTCATTTTAACATGAGTCAGTTTGCTTGAAAAACAAACCCCTTATTTTCCATAATTTAATAACACAACTTCTACCATTCAGAAGACAATATGTAGCGAAGAGCCTTTTCAACAAATTTATTTACAGACTGCACAATCCTATACATATATATAGTTTTAGGAAATTATATCCGATGAGGGAATTAGATTAAAAGTGTGAACACATGAAATAACAATAGTATGAAATGCGATTAAAATATTTATGCTTATAATCATAGTTAAATGTCAAGTAGCAAAACAATTAATGTCATATATAGGATGACATATAAGGTGCGTAGATGTTGGAAAGGAGTGCATAATTATAGGATTAGTAGGCGAATATAAAATGTTACATAATGTGGTGTGAAATTTCATACGATAGAATTCAATATTGTAAAAACAAAAAGATAAATAATAATAATTTTGGATTTAAAATGACAAATGGGACAAGCGGAAACAATTCAGAGTGAGAATAGTGAGAATGATAATAATAATCGTAGTAATAAGGGAAAGGTACATAGAATAACTAAATAAACAAAATACAAATAAATAAATGTCTATCCCTCTACGGCCAAGGCAGAAGTAGGGATTGTACATACTTCTTTTGTACACAAAGGTCTGGTTTAAAGTCATGAATTGCCAAGGCCTCCACTGTCTATAGAAGTCTATGACGAAGAAAACATGGCAAGTTGTCATGGATTCGGTAGATGATTTTAAAATCATGGTCAGGGTTGGCAGAGTGACAGGAGTCGATCAGGTGTTCTAAATAGAGCTTCGCACACACTTCCTTTCTCCCTCGTAAAACCATGCTGGAATATGTTCTCGTATCCGTATGGAAAGCGTCCTCTCGCTAAAGCCAATGTAGCTTGCTCCACAAAAGCAGGTGAACTGATAGATGCACATGGAGGCGGCCGGACGGGGCTTGGTGGTCAGAACGTGCGGGTGAGATGGAGTCAGCTGCTGCATCTGGCAACAGTCGGAAGCTGTTCCAACTCATCCGAGCCACCGGCAGCAAGAAATAAGGTGTCAGCGAGACGGTCTGTGGGGCAGATGGCACGCCAATTACCAGTTGGAAAAGACGCCTGGAACGCTGGGCAGAGCACTTCGGGAAACAGTTTAGCTGGCCACCAGCTTCAATGTCTGCTGTCATTAGCCCCAGTGCTCCTTGGTCGGTTAATACCGACCGACCCACCGAAGCGGAGGTCCGTAAGGAACTCCAAGTGTTAAAACGCCATAAGGCGCCCGGCCCAGACAATTTACCCCCGGCTCTTTTTAAAGATGGTGGCGAGACTCTCACAATGGCTCTAACTGGGTTGTTCAGGAAGGTATGGGAAACTGAGAGTGTACCATCAATGTGGAACGAAGCCATTATCGTCCCCATCTTTAAAAAGGGTCGACGTAATTCGTGTGACAATCATAGGGGTATCAGTCTGCTACCAGTCGCGTCTAAATTATTGGCTGCTGTCTTGCTTCGCAGGCTGTGCAAAATACGTGAAGGATTGATTCGCGAAGAGCAGGCTGCGTTGCGTTCAGGTCGTGGATGCATTGATCATGTGTTCACCCTTCGTCGAGCGTGTCGAGCACGAATTACTTTCGGATTGTAACCATTCTTCCGGAGCCAGGCTAGACGTCTTCGTCTCCACCGATTACATGCTTCACGTTGAACATCTATAGGAATTCTGTGCACACATTCTGCATTGATAAATCTAAACTCTGGGGAAATTCAATATGCTCGACATCAGAAAATTCTTCCTTCAATTTGCACCGGCCAACAACTTCATCGGCATGCACATCCTTCGGCATTCCCACCATCCAAGGATAGCAAGCAATAGCAACAATCCAGTGAACATTCTCATTAATTGGAATGATGATAAAATCTTTACTGAAAATATCATCTCGACGTGTCCAGCGAGCGACACCAGCGTGTTGTCAGTTGTTGGAACACCGCCACACGTATTGCAGGCCAACGATCGTTGTGTTTCTTGATATTAGGGCTGCCTTCGATTCGTTGGACAGAACTGTGCTCTGGAACTGTCTGTTAGAGAGAGGTGTACCTGAGAAATTTGTTAACATCTTGAAAGCCCTATAGAGAAACACCTCATGTAGAGTGAGGGCATACAACCAACTATCATCACTGTTCCTAACCAACAGTGGGGTTAGACAGGGTTGCCCAATCTCTCCATTCCTCTTTAACTTTGCCATCGATGACATTCTGGAGTCAGCTCTGAAGGATGTGCGTGAAGGTGGTGTAGATCTGCTACCTGGAGATAGACTTTTCGACCTCGAGTATGCAGACGATATCGTCTTACTGTGCGATAGCATGCATGCTGCCCAAATCGCACTTAATCAGTTGGCGATCAGTGTCTGTAAGTATGGTATGTGCTTTGCACCGACCGTCTAAGTGCAAAGTACTGTTACAAGATTGGCAGGAGCCTGACCTGCACTCACTCTTGCGGGTGAACCGCTTGAAGTTGTTGATAAGTTTGTGTACCTGGGTAGTTGTGTGAGTGCTGGCGGAGGGGTGACGGATGAGATTTCCAACCGTATAATGAAGGCTAGGGTGGCATACATCAACTTGTGCCACCTCTAGCGCCGTCGCGACGTTAGCCTGGCTGTCAAAGGTCGGGTATACAATGCTTCGGTGCGAGCTGTCTTGCTCTACGCCTGTGAAACCTGGCCTCTCCGAGCTGAGGATGTGCGGCGACTCTGCGTGTTCGATCATCGCTGTCTCCGCAGGATTGCTTGCGTTCGATGGCATCATCGCGTGAGTAATTCTGAGGTTCGGCGGCGTGTGTTTGAACACAGTGGAGATCACCATTCATTGAGTGTCGTCATCTGGAAACACCAGCTCCGGTGGCTTGGACATGTGCTGCGAATGTCATCCCAGAGGCTTCCGTACAGGTCTCTGTTCGCTAGCCCTGGGACGGGATGGAAAAGGCGGAGGGTTGGTCAGTCCATGACGTGGCGTCGTGGGATGAAGGATATTTGTGCTAGATTAGCATCGGTTGGTGTGTCACGACTCCCTGGTTTGGGTCCGCGAGATAGCTCGAATCGATGGCTCGAAACGTTATCGGATATGGCCAAGAATCGTAATCAATGGCGAACGTGTTGCAATTTCCTTCTTTCTTCCCTTCCTGATGATAGTTAACGAATACTGTTTGAACTTGTTAAACATGACTGTTTTCCTTCCTGACGAAGTTCTTTATCCGTTTTCTACTTATATTTTTTACTTTTAATCTATGTTGTTTTATTATTATTGTGTGGCGCATCTTTCTTGGTGCCATATTGTACCAAGTTTTTCTGCGTTTAAATAAAATAAAATAAATAAAGACGGGGTATGGGGCTTATCTTTTACAGAGATGGAAAACAACTTGCGGCTGGTGAACGTCATTTGTAATTTTGCTGCGAAGAACGTCTTACTGACTGCTTTAGAGAGACGGATTTTGAGCATATCTGAAGCTTGATCACCTTTGAATTCCAAATTCATGAATAAGGTTTTCTTTGGAACTGAGTTGATGACCAGTTTAGACTGCTGTTACTGTCAATAAGTCGGTTCGGGTAACCGTTTTCCGCGAGCGTGGCTTTTAGGAAGTCAAGTTCTGAGTCAACGCAATCAGAACTACAAATATTTCTTATCCTAAAGCAGAGCGAATGAATTAGGTTCCTCTTCCTGGAGATAGACACCCAACTATAAAAATTAGTTAGTTGTCCATTCCATGTACGTTTCCGGTGGATGGATCTTTTGAGAGATCCGTCATTACGTCTACTAAGGCACACACCAAGAAACGGAATACTTAGTTTAGATTCCTTTTCTATGGTGAATTGTAAAGAAGGACGGCAGTTGTTGAAAGCACACAAGACATCATCAAGAATTACGTTATTATTTCAGATAACGAAACTGTCGTCTGCGTATCTTTTATAAATGTCGAAATGATCGATGGTTTGACTAAGTTGAGAGTTTTCAAGCTTTGCCAAAAGCAATCAGCCAGCAAAGGACCCAGTGGTGATCCCATCGCAATGCCATCTCTCTGTCTAAAAATCTCATTATTGCAGATGAATTGAACATTCAACGTGCATCTCAATAAAAGTTTCTTGAGGTGGACTGTCGGCAACCCTATTTCTAAATTATGTGTATCAATATAATCACATACATAGCAAACGGTTCCCATGAGAGGTACATTGGTAAATAGCGAAGTCACGTCTAATGGGAGCATGACTTTGTCTGAGACATTAAAATCTTTAATACTCTCAATAAATTTAAACCTATCATCAATGGAAAACTTAGACACTT